GTTCTTCCATGTTGATCTTCTACTCCAGTTTATCTTCTTCTCCAATTCATATAAATTTTTCAACAACAATAAAATTTCTCTTATCATCTTAGATTTTTTAGGAACTAAACATATTTTACCTAGGAAAGTTTCTTTCCACCTTCAATTTTCTTATCAACCAAACAACATTCCATTTTATCAAATTTATAAAAATTCTAACAAAAATTTATAAAAACTCACTACTTTCTTTCTCTCTCTCTCTCTCTCTCTCTCTCTCTCTCATAGAGAACCCAGATCTGGGTTCTCTTGGGGAACCCAGATCGGGTTCTCTTGGGGAACCCATAGGTTCTCAAGAACTCGATCAAGGAGTGGGGAAGAGAAGGAAGAAAGGGGGAGGAGAGGGAAAGAAGAAAAAAAGAAAGGAGGAGGAGGCAAAAGAAGGAAGAAGGTTGAAAATCTATCTAATCTCTTCTATATATCCTTCTAATTCGCTTTCCCCTTGTACTTTTGTTGCTTAAATTGTGAATGACCCAGCAGCAACCTAGCAAAATAGAGAAATTAGAAGGGAAAATGTCCAGATCTAGTGTTGATGGAGGGATAAAGAGAGAGAAAATGAGAGGATGAAATTGCAGGTTTCGAGAGGGGCAATTGCAAGTTTTGGGGCTGGGTTGGGTGCCGTTTGGGAGTTAACGAAATATAACGAAGACTGACGGAAAAAGTGACGAAAAGTGCATGTGTGTAACGGTAGGTGTAAGGATGAGTGTATATGTAGCATTATCCTTATATATAATATTTGAAATATGAATTATTACATGTTCTGGGTATGTCTTGGTCTTTTGGACAATAGAAGAGGACATTATACTGATTCTAGTTAACTAGTATGAAGGAAGGGAAGGCAAAAAATTATTATAGAAGTAAGACCTAGCTAGATCCCGCATCGTGCAGAAATAAGAAAGCATAGGTTTTGAGTGCTGCATTTAGAACTGACTTCAATGTATACTATGTATGCAGCCACGCGGTGAGCACAAAGCGAACTATTCTTTCGCCTTTTACTAAAGAATACCGTGTGCTCTTCGCATTTAGTGGCATATGCTAATTTTTGGAGAGCTCTCCTTTTTGGATGAGCTCTACAATTTTAGTTTGAAGTGTTTTTCATTTTTTTGGCTTTACTCTCTCTGATAAACCCGACAATTTTTTCTTCAATGAACCCTACAATTTTAGTTTAGAGTCATGAATTTTTAATAAATATGACAAGAAATGAATAAATCTCAATAATTAAAAGAGAAGAGATGAATTGTCAAAGGACAATAATACATTTACACTCTTCCATTACACACTATGTTACACACACTCACTCTCCGTTACTTTCCGTTAACTCACAAACATCCCCAATAAAACTTGCAATTTCATCCACTTCTCCCTCAAGCTTTAAAAAGGACTTGAAGCCTTGAATTGAATCATAAACCCCCCAACACCCATTAGAGTAAAAGATACCAAAGGAAACAATGAAAGCTCAACAATG